TGTCTTTATGCCTGGCATGCAGTAGGTGCTCAATAAATACTGGCGGTAGAGCCAGTGGGACAGAGATGGGCTGAGGCATGGAAGGGACTCTGCCATCTGTGGTCCTTCTACCCTGTCCTAAGTCATTTATCTGATGAGCTCAGGTGCAGAACTTCCACGGGAGAAGGGATAGTCAATGTGGGTTCCTAGCCGCGGCGTGAGGATCGCAAGTTGGAGGCCAGCCTGGGCCACTCTTTGCAAGACCCTGTCTCAAAATAAAATAATAATAATAATAATTGGGCCCGAGCTGGGGCTTGGTGGTGCACACCTCTCATCCCAGCGGCTTGGGAGGCTGAGGCAGGAGGATCGTGAGTTAGAGGCCAGCCTCAACCGTGGCGAGGCCCTGAGCCACTCAGCGAGACCCTGTCTCTAAATAAAATGCAAAATAGGGCTGGGGATGGGGCCCAGGGGTGGAGGGTCCCTGGGTTCAATCCTGGGTCCCCCCCCCCACCCCAAAGTAAAAGGGCTCCTTCGTGTCCCTGGAGGACCACAGGGTCCTGTGTGCCATCTCAGGTCAAGTTCAAAGCCACTGGGTGGGAGTGTCTGGTTCACTGAGCTGGACGCTGTCCACCGTGGTCAGGCAGGACAGGCCGAGGAGGTCAGCGGTTCCCGGTGTCCAGGACAGTCGGCAGCGCTGGGTTCTGACGCGCCGAGGGTCCACAATGGCCCATTGTCTGACCAGCCCCATTGGCAGGACCAGGGGCACGTCTGGTGCCATCTCTGTTCAAAGGAAAATAAAACTACCCCCTGAAGGATCACTCTGTACTCGATACAGTTATTATTATTTTTTTAATTGTTTCTGATTTGTGTTCCTTTTGTAATTAAAAAGTGAATCTTCTCCGGGCTGGGGCAGCCCGTGCCTGTCATCCCAGGGACTGGGGAGGCTGAGGCAGGAGGATCACAAGTTGGAGGCCAGCCTCAGCCACTTAGTGAGTTTCTAAGCCACTTAGACCCTGTCTCAAAATTAAAAAAATAATAATAATGATAATAATAAAATAGAAAGGACTGGGGATGGGGTTCCCAGTCCTGGTAGAGCACCTCAGGATCCAGTCTCTGGTGCCAAGAAAAGAAATAAAAAAATTCCAAGACTCTCTTCCACAGGACGCTCATTCAGGATTTCCAGGATGCGCCTGGAATCTCACTTTATTGGTTTAAAAAAAAAAAGGGAGGGGGGATTCCAGATAATTCTTCTTTTCTTTCTGCCCCCCTCTCCCTCCTTGAAATCGCTCAGGCTGGTCTGAAGTCATGAGCTTCCCGAGATCCTCCTGCCTCAGCCTCCCCAGTAACTGAGACGACAGGTGTGCACACACCAAATGTGACTTAGTTTTTGATTTTTTTTGTTTTTTTTTTTGGTGCCAGGGATGGAACTCAGGGGCCTTCGACCCCCGAGCCCCGTCCCCAGCCCTGTTTTGTGTTTTATTTAGAGACAGAGTCTCCCTGAGTGGCTCAGGGCCTCCCTTTGGCTGAGGCTGGCTTGGAACCCGCGATCCTCCTGCCTCAGCCTCCAGAGCTGCTGGGACGAGAGGCCAGGTCATTCTTCTGAGCTGGGGACAGTTAGGGCGGCTGCCCCTCCTCCAGCCTAAGCCGCACCCGGGGCCCTTTGTTTTAGGTGTTTTGTTTTTAGAAACAGAAAAGCAAATTCCTGCTCCTAAGCCCCAACCCTAGCACCAGCCTCAGCTCCGGTTTCCAAAGGCAGCCACTGCCCAGGTGAGGCGGGAGGAGAAGCCCACACGGCCCTGTGTCCATAAGTCACCCTGGGACTCCCAGGACGGCCACTCCCCCATGTTTCCAGAAATACCTTAGGCAACACTCGCTGGCACAGGAGACGCTTTGTACCCTAACCCATGGCTGGGCCACCCTGCGACTCCTGGAACCCCAGCAGCCTCGTTCTCACCATGAGGGCTCTCCAGGCTGGACTGGCTTCAGTCCTGCTCTCCCCAAATCCTGTTTGTCTCCCTGCTGACCTCAGAATACAGCCCAAGCCCACCCAGCCAGCCCTCGGGTTCCCCGACCATCTGGCTTCTCCTGAATCTCACCCTGGATGGAGGAGGTGGTGGCATCGCAGCCTCTCGGGAGGCTGAGGGAGGAGGATCATAAGGTGGAGGCCAGCCTCAGCACCTTAGCAAGGTCCTGCCGGGCATTTCCAGAACGAGAGCTCCTCCCCAGAAGCCATGAAGTCAAACCAAAGCCGTGGACCAGGGCAGGTTGGCCAATGTGGAAAAGTGAGATACAGCCCCCAGAGAATCGGGGACCGGGCACGGTGACACACACCTGTCATCCCAAGCAGCTCAGGAGGCTGAGGCAGGAGGATCACAAGTTGGAGGCCAGCCTCAGCCACTTAGAGCCTAAGCAACTCAGGGAGACCCTGTCTCTAAATAAAATATAAAAAAAGGGCTGGGGACAGGGCTCAGGGGTTGAGGGCCCCTGAGTTGGACCTCTGGTACTCCCCCCCCCCCAAAAAAAAGAATCTGGCTCTTGCTCACAGTGTTTTATCATCCGGGATCTTTGGAAAGACTTTTGGAGAAGGAACAGCTCCCAAGTCCCCTGACAGATTGACAGAAGGACAAACTGGGTTGGAAAACAGAGTATCCACAGCCCTGAGTACCTCTCGGGAGGCTGAGGGTGGCCCCAGGAATGGAAGGAATCAGGGCTCCCTGAGAAGCCACAGAGAAAAGAATCGGGTACCTAAGTGATGTCCCCGTGGGTCCCAATCACTCCCCGCCAGCCCTGAGGACTGGGGGTGCCCTACTTCAGCCTCCACTTGCCAGGAAGTCAGTGACCAGAGCTCTCAATCTGCCACCGTCCCACGAAGACAAAGTCTTCTGGGCGGGTCTCAGTTGGCCCATCTGTGAAATGGGCACAGCGACCCCTCAGGGCCTGGGGACTGGGCCCCGCAGAGGTGGCCCTGGATGGCTCAGGATGAGGAGAGGAAATTGGGAGAGGCGGCCGGCAGCTGGGCCACCCAGCCGTGCCAGGGTGTCCCCAAAGGACAAGCGCTCAAGATGGCACGGTGGCCCTGGCCACATACCACAGCCACCCTGGAGCGCTCGTGACACCCTCTAATCGGCAGCTCTGCGGCCCAGCTGGGCTTTACAGCTTACCACAGCTTAGGGCGCCTCATCTCCCCCAATCCCCTCAAGGACGCCGTGGGGCTGGCCTGTGGGTGTCCTGGCTGCCTGGACGGTCCAGCTGAGGTTCAAAGAGTGAGTCACCGAAGGTCACCATTGAGACCGAGCCCAGCTCAGCTGCCCAGAGCCCAGCTCCCGCCTGCCTCTGGGATCCCGGGGCTTTACCTGCCCAGGGGGCCGCAGGCCACGCCCACTTTCCAGGTGAGGAAACCGAGGTCCAGCAAAGGTGGCTCAAGGTCAAGAGTGGACAGAACCCGGGGAGGGGGGGGACACAGCCTCTGGCCATTCTGCCAGTCCCACGGGGCTGTGGATTCTCAGCCTGGGGTCCTCGGGTGGCTCTGGAACCTCCCTAAAACATCACCCAGGTGACATGCCTTCCCCACCCCCGTGGCCACCTCCTCACGCCCACCCCACGGTGGCTCCCCGGGTGACTCCCCGGTCCCTGGTGGAGGGAGACAGGCGGTTGCTAAGCGCTCACCCTCTCTCTCCCGTAAAAATAAACTCCTTCTGGCTGGGAGACGCTGGGCCAGGTCCCCTCCCTGGAAGCCACCAAAATAAATAAATAAATAAATGAAATGAAATTCTTTTTTTTTTTTTTTTTTTTTTTCATTTTACAAAGATCCCCCTCGGTGACATTGATTCAGGGCCCGATTTGCTGAAGTCCAAAGGGAGCCTTAGAATCCTGAGACCCTCCATGGCGGGCTGCTGGGTTGATTTATGTCCCCAGGCAGGAAATGGGGGCCAGGCTGCCTCCCAGGCCTCTGGGGCTGGTCCTGGGGGAGGCTGGGATCTGGCTGGAGCCCGGGCAGTGACCAAAATAGCCAAGCCGGTGGCCCTGCCCAGCACACACCTCCCTCTGGGTGTCCAAGAGGGACGGACGGACGGTGGCCTGCAGTTCCCCTTCCAGAAGGTCTGGGACAGGGGGAAGGTGGTCCCCCCAGAGTCCCCCCCCCTGGGCAGCCTCCCTAGTGGGAGGGGCATGTGAGCCTCCAAACCAAAAGAGGAACCCGCAGGAGGAAGGGGAAGCCTGAGCGAGATGTGCCCCACGGGCCACCTCGCTGCCCACGGTCGCCTGGCTGTCCCTGCCGGGGCCTTGGTCCCGCCACTCAGGGCCACCTGCACACACACACACAGAGGCAGCGCGGTGAGGCCATGCCTCCCGGTCACCTCTCCTTCCCATGTGGTCCCCGCCCTGCAGAACCCGTTGGGGCCACCGAACCCCTTTTGGCACAGGGGATGGGGGACACCCTCCCAGGCACAGCCCAGGGGCACAGATCACAGGACCCAGCCACCACACTCAGGGACTCACACACACGTGCACACGGCCAGGGACTCCCTCGGAGGCACGGTCACACCCGGGTTCACGCTCACGGGGACCCGCGCGAGAGAGGGCACAAGTCCCCAAGAGCCACAGCCACACACCGCCCGCAGGTACGCGCGCGCGCGCAGCCGGGGAGACCCGGAGAATGGCCCACGGCACTGGGTCGCCCATGTGCACGCGATGCAGGCGACATGGAGAAACGGCCACCCTTTCGGGCATCCACGGGGACCACCATCACGGGGACAGAGCCGGACGGACACACGGACAGACAGACTCCCAGGCGCGCACACACCTGCCGCTGCACCGCGAGCCCCAGACCTTGGGGCTGGGGGTGTGTATGGGGGGGGACAATAACACCGTCCCCCCCCGTCGCGGCACGGGCGACCCCCCTGGGTCCCTCCCTCGGATGGAGCTGGACAGGCCAGGACCTGGAGACGGGGAGGTGGCCCGAGCGCGGGATCCGGGGGGCAGGGGACGGCGGTGCGCGCCCAGCTCCGCGTCCCCTCGGGTACCTGCGGTGGCCTCGGCGCTGCGCTCGGCGGCGCCGGGTTCCAGTGGTCAGGAGCGCTGCCCGGTGGCTCGGTCCCCGGCCCCCTCGGCGGGCTGTGCGCGGCGATGTCCCTCGGGGCGTCTCTGGGCTCGAGGTTCCCGATCGCGGGACACTGGGCCACCCGAGCGCGGCGGCGGCGGCGGTGGCCAGGCTCCGGGGCTCGGCGCTGGCCGCGGTGCGGAGGACGCGGTAATTTATAAGCGGCTTCTTCCTGACCTCGCGTGTCTGTTGTCTGCACAGGCAGCGCTCAGCATCGCCCATCCTGCTGGGTGGAAAAATACCAGCTTGGCCGGGCCGGGGGCGGGGCCGGGGCGGGGCCGGGGCGGGGCCGGGGCGGGCCGGGGCGGGGCCGGGCCGGGATGGGGGCCGGGCCTGGGCGGGGCCTGGGCGGGGCCTGGCGAGGCCGGCCTGGTACCTGGGCGGGGCCTGGGCGGGGCCTGGTGGAGCCGGCCTGGTATCTGGGCGGGGCCTGGGCGGGGCCTCAGCGCCCAGCCCCGCCCCGCGCGCGCCGACACACACGCGCACACACATGCACACACACCGGCTCGCAGGCACGCACGCGCGCACGGGCTCGGTCACACAAAGAGCCCGGGCTCGCCTCGCCGAGCGCGCGCGCACACACCCTCCCACCGCGCAGGGGACGCTGGCGGGTGCCAAGGGGTTCAGCCTGTCCTTTGGCCCCCTGCAGATGAAGAGCCAAAAGGGATCCAGGACCCCCCCACCCCCCCACCTCATCCCTCGCTCCCCCTCCCCCCACACCCGGGTCCCCCTTTTCCTAACCAGGATCCCCAAGCCCTGCACCCGTCACCCATGCACCTGGATGTTCGGGGGAGGAGCACATGGGGTGGCCACGTTCCACAGTACCTGGGGCCTGTCCTGGAGACCCCATGGGTTTGCACCTTTGCAAAATGGGCACCATCAGTAACCCCCCCCCCCCCAGGGTGGCCTGAGGTCCTGGTTGTGACAGCTCTGGTGACTGTGATAGCAGAGCACTGCAGCGCAGGCCCGGAAGCCCACCCACTTTGGAGTCTGAGTCAGGAAGGTTC